AGTTTGTTGAATCAATTAAATCGATAGAATTTTATTTCATATTTATATTTTAGAACCTACTTGTACTACTTCCTCAGTAAGATAAATTCCAAACTCCATCAAATGCCAACAATCTTCAACATGAATAGGAAAAAAAATATTCATATTTCTACAAAAGCTTTCTAAGTATGACCACAATAATAAATTGGTAACGTCTAATTTGCTAGATTGTCTTTTATATATTTTAAATAGCTCTGTAAATACCTAATTTACCGTAATATAACATGTCTTCAAAATATCTACTTAAAATATATATCGGATACCAAAATATATCCTAACGAAATCATTGATTAAAAAGATTTAAAAATATAAAATCTAACACAAGTATTAATTTTAGTAAAAGTCTTATTAATAACAGGGAAAAGTTAAATAAAGAGAAACGATACCTCCGAATTTTTCATAGCAAATTACTATAAAAATATAAACATAAGTCAGAAATAAGAAATACAGTTACGTATATAATGTTACATAGGCACTGAAGTCTTAATATATATTAACCCTTTCAAACTTTTTGAGAGGCCGTTTTGCTAAACTTATATCTCTGATCGGAACCTTGTTGCAACTACAAACTTCTACATTCGAGTTCGGAAGAACAACGCTATAAAATGTTTATAGCCATTAATTTCAGCAAAACAGCAAATGAGCTTGCTAATGTAGTCAGGGTTTCGTTAAAAGACGTAAATCTATGTAAGTAGTAACATCTATTCTGAATGTCCACTAAATAAATGAAGGCAATGGTGCAGCATTAGATGCCATCAGTGAAATGAATAGAACGTTGAAGTTGATTTAAGAGACACATTCTAATATTAGAAGTACCATAACAGGTCTTACCAGTAGCAAAAAAATGTAAACAAAATGACAGTCAGAGATTGATTGCTAATGTGGAAGGTTGTGGAACTTCTGGTAGTAATTAATAGTGGTAGTCAATCTTCGAGTGTTGTTAAACACACACATACTAATGGTAGGGAAATTAAATAAATTCTAATCAATTAACCAGTGATATGGGCTTCCGCAAGATAATACCTATTTTATTGTTAATTTGTTTATTTTATTTTGCTTTTATTGTTAGGTGTTGTAATGTCTATGTACGTCACTAAATTATTTCAGTACAATATTTAACAATATTAAAAAAAAAAAAAACATTACTTTCTACAAGTATACATTAAAAGCCTTTTTGTGTTACTGGATAGAGTACTCTGTAAGAATCAACATTTTTATATAATCAAACATGAAATAATAGTATTATATTAATATTGCACTGATAAATACTGAGGCATTTTAGAGTTAACGTAGTTGAACAATAACAAATCACAAATTTTATTTTTAATAAAAATGGCTCTCTATCAAAGTCATATAATAATAAAAAAGGGGAGAAATAAAATAATTTTCAACGCAATGAAATCAGGAAACCAGATGGCAAAAGCATAATTATTATAACATTTGACAGAACAGAGCCAGAACAGACCGATTTGATCGGCAATGGTTACGATTCCGCAACACCATCATGAGAATGCGAATTCTCGTGTAAATCCCTCAAAGCCAGAGCAACCGTGCATTAATCACGGTGAGTAGACGATAACCGCAAGGCGCGCAGAAGCGGTAGCAGTTAAAATAATTTAAGTGCCACCAACCGCAGAACTTGGGCAATAAAGAACGGAGACAAAGTCTGGAAACATTTTTCATTAGGCGGAGAAAATTCGCGCTGCAATTCGCAGAGTAAACAATTATATTGTGTCCGGTTTTGGGCTAATTGTACGAGGTTGTTTGCTCTTTTTATTGAAAGGATTTCGGGGCATGATCATCTTTCATTACATTACAAGAAAATTTGGTTTGTATGACATATACAAGTTTTTCATATCCGATTTTAAATGCTTGAGGTAACTTATTCGTCATAATAAACATATTTCGAAGGATGCCCATTTTTTATTAGGCAAAAAAGAAATTCATACTACAATATACAGCTTAGACATTTATATTTTAACTTTGAAATAATTATTTGAATTTATATATTGTTTATATTGAAAGAATTTCGGGGAGTGTTAAGTAGTCAATAAAAACTAGTAATGCATGACGTAGATGACCACACTGTGCCCGGTTTTGAGCTATTTGGTTACAGCTATTTTTCCTTGAAATATTGAAAAGATTTCAGAGAATAGCTATTTTAGACGACTTAATTAAGTCCAATTTTAAGCTAATAAATTTAAAAAATCCATTCAAAAACACATTAGTTTTGTCATATTGAATTTTATTTAATTTGCATGCAAATACATTTAAAAATTATGGATTTTTAGTACCACTTAAACCTCTTGGGCTTGTGTTTGGCGCTTTACATTTCGAGGTCTATATGGTTATTCAATTTGGCAATATTATCGACAGAAGCAATTTGTGGCGTTTGTTAGGAATGTTAATAGTTATTTAACGATCTGTTAAAGATTACCGGGTACTGATGGAATTTCTAAACCTACATTAGTACAGTTGACGTGCAATTGGAAAAAAATGATTAGATACATAACTCATTGATCTACAAAAAGAAATGACAATAACAATTTAACCAGGTTTAATTAGGGCGACTCGTAAACTCTTTTAAATAATAACAAAGTAATTGAAGAAAAAGAAGCGAACTAAAAGAAGCGAACTAGGTTCACCTACACTAGATGCTAAGTTAGAGAAGTTATGTTGAACTGAATTATACTTTTCTATACTACTATGTTCTCGTATATTCCTAATGTGGTCCCGGCACAGAATAGGTCACTCCTTCCTTTCCCGAGGGCGTCATAAGAAGCGGTTAATGGAGAATAAGGAATGGATAGCAGCATCCCTCTTAAAATACCTCCAAAACCTAACTGCGGTTACCAATCCGCCTGCCAAGCGTAGCAACTACTGGCAAAACCAAATCCCAATAGGAGGAGGCTTGTGTTTAGCAGTGGACAGTTAAGGCTGATATGATGCTACTATTATAGTGACAAACAAGCATACGGCCCGTCTGATGGTAAATGGCATTACCGTAGCCTATGGACACCTATAACAGGAATATTACGCACACGTTGCCAACCCTACTAATACACCACAAAACGGCAGCAATTCGAATGATACGTTCACTAAAACGGTAACAGTGGACTAACTAACTAACTACGGCCTTTGAATGGCTCATGAAGGATTACCTTCGTGAACAACCTTTACATAATATAATATAAAGAATCCTTGTATTTTCCGTTAGATGTTACAGAATTTGTTAATATGTCATCATCTTCTTCCCTTTATCCCAATTATTATTTGGAGTCGGCGTAATATGTTTTTCTCTTCTATTCTTCTCTATTCGCTATCATTTCCACATTCACTCTTATTCTTGCTATATCATCTTTTACAGTCTATCCATATTTTTACAGGTCTTCCTTTGTCCTTATAGCCACACTCCACTCCACATTAATATAAATAAACAAATTAATAAACGAATGACGGGAGTAATCTCGCCCACTGCCACGTTGAATTCTAAAATGCTCGGCTAAATGTATGTAGGTACGTGGAGTGTCATGTTCACAACGATGGGAACATTTTATAAATGCTTTATATTTACAAACGAAACGACACAAGAAAGGGAATTGCGTACAAGTTCTAGACTTAAAGACATTATGAGCGACCTACAACCATAATTATACGTAGTTGTACATGGAGTGCAATTTCAGGGAAGTAAGTTGTATAACAGATTACCAATTGCTGTGAAAATTGTCCAAAATTGAAGAATTTTAAAAATAATACTCAATGCCCTTCTGTTGGAAAAATGTAATTACTAAATAAATTAATTTATACTTGATTTTTCACTGACATTGTTATTCATATTAATTCAGACTAATTATTTGTGTGTGACATTGTTAATATGTAAAATTGTTGTATGTTTGTAATTTTGCACTTGTACAGTCTAAAAATGTTATCATATTCAAAACAATGTAATATTATTATCGAATAAATTGAATTGAATTGCTTTTTTAAAAGCCCCAATGCTAGCAATATACAGTTGATCCCTACGTGGTTCTTCCTGAAAACCGTTATGGTTAATTCTTGTCGAATACGCCACAATTGGCTAACTGGCGAACGTGAGGAAATCCTTATGCAGACTCATACACCCCGGAGGAGCCATGTAGGTACTGCCGGACTCTTACCGGCCAAAACCACCACGTGTTCCTCGGCTACGACATACGGCAGCGTTGCTGCGGTTCTAGTTTGGCTAACGGACTGTTTTTTATCGTGGGGAAATGCGATTTGCGGGACTCATACGCCCCGGGGTGTATGGCTACTGCCGGACTCTTACCGGCTAAAACCACCACGGCATCCCTCACCTCGCCGTAATGTTGGGGACCCGGGTTCTTTTCGAAATTCACCAAGCCCCAACGGCTTCGCTAACGGATCTGCTTAAACCTCACCTTTCATTCCTCACAGGTGTCTCGTATATGCCAGTAGGTTTGCCAGTGTATACTGATAGTGCAGGCGTGTCGCTAATTCATTTTCACTCATTAAATAATTATATTACACAAAAAATTACTGAACCGATTTTAATAAAATTTCTAATCGGGACTAATCTGCATGTGCTTTTAGATAAAAAAAAATAAAAAAAAAATCCATATCGGTTGACAATTGACGGTGTTATGAGATAACACATAAAAAATACAAGTGAACTAAGAACTTGATTCGTTTTGAAGTTTGTTAAAAAGAACCCCCATCATTATTTAAATTCGTGAGTTTATTAATTTTTTAAACAAATAAATATATTTCTGTTATTGTTAAGTAGGCAAATATTTTTTTACTGTTAGGGAGATAAATAAATAGACAGCTCCCTTGCAATACAAGAGTAGGTTGTGCGTTGCGGGCCATTTAAATGTTTGTAGGCGTGTATTTGAAATGGCCCACATTATATTGTGAGAAGAAAACAGAAAATAGAAATCCATATAAGTTAAGATTATACTTACAATAACAACACATTGATTTGCCGAACATCATCTGAAAGCAAACAGAAATTGAATTAAGCATATTTTACATAACAAGTGGCATAACTAAATCAAAGTGACCGTTGGGAGATACAAACGAAGTAATTTGTGGCAAAACGCTCGCTCTCTCGTCTCAATCTGTTACAATTTATTTGCATGTAAATTGGACAAGTTTATTATCATCAGCGGCGATGTGAAATTACGGGACCTTTTGTTGATTAATTCATTACATAGAAAATAACTTGGGAGATATCGATTGTATTAAATACAGATGAGATGAGATACATTAGAGTCTTTTGTGTTCCTATTTATCGGATAAATTGTGTTTTGTCGTTCCCAAAATTGTATTTATTTATGAATGACTAATTGCTCGTCCCCGCTTTATGTGGGTGTATTTATTCATTCATTCATTTAAATCTTTCCTCTCACGTATCGTCATTATCATCGTCATCTCAGCCATTATGTGATTACTGCTGAACATAGGCTCCCTCACTCACTCTCTCACTTTTTGTATGAAGATTTTTTTTAATTTTCCATACATTTTTTTAAAATTTTTATTTCATACAAACCTTGTCGTGAGAATTGTGAATACAACAAAAAAATAATTAGTCTGATAGGTGCAGACGTTCCGTAGTGATGCGCTTACATACAGTCGGAAATTGATTTTTATTTAAATTTAATTTAATATACAATAAATTGTACATTGCAAGTACATGCAACTTTCAGACATAATAACTTCAATTGTGATAGCACACACCTTATGAAAGAATTTTCATAGACATACTGGTTTTAAATAAAAAATAGTTTCAAAATAATTCTTAATTAATTTGTAATTTGCTAATTCGTGTGCGTAGAACAAAAATATATTTAATGTTTTGCTTGGTAACCGTCAGGATTTCGCTGCAGATAGAAAAACAGCATTTTCAATATGTGATCAACGTGGTATTAATCTCTCTATAATCCCTATCGATTAAATAAAGAACTATCAAAATCGATAAAAATATTGGTGATGTAATCGCGTAACATAGACACAAAAATACAGATTTTCCAATTTCCTACTCGTATCCATTTATTTATTTATTTATAAATTACTCACTACACTTACAGTCTCCCAAAACGTGTAGTGAGCCATAGGTTTATTTTACAAACTTAAAAATTTTGTATTACATTTTAAAAGTATATCTATTTTGTCATTAAATACATCAATATCTGGCTGCTGAGCAATCAGAGAATTGAGCAGAGAAATAGCCTGATAAGTGGGAGCAAACTGGTCCATGGTACTGCTCAATTCTATTGGCGACGGTTACCACTTTCCATCAGGTGGACCGTCAGCTTGTTTCCATTCTAAGTTGTATAAAAAAAAAGTACAGGTGCGAACCGGCGGTGCCGATAGTAATCGACAAGCATACAATCGCATGCAGTTTATTCTATGACGATTACAGCAACAAATGAACCAATTCCCCTATTTCTTTTTTCACTAATATACAACTACAAAAATCCTTAATAATTTCATTATTATTATTACAAATGACATTGAAAAATATTCTTTATATAAAAGTAACAAATGTCCGTCAACTTTATAAAAGAAAGTCCTCTACGTATAACTAGCCAACAAACCTGGCCCTTCACGGAGCGCTCTGAAACGTCATTAGTTAAAATTACTGAACTCCAGCCTAGATATCGCTCCCCAGGAGGTAGTTGACAAACTTTACGAAAGGGCACCATGTTACCCTTTGGCTTATGGTATAATTCAAGAACGACTAGTCCTAGTTTTATTATATTCATTTAGATTAATCACAAATGATTTAAAATTGTGTTCTATAAAAAAACTTCCTCGATTGTAACAAAACCAGTTATTTTGATTCAAAAATTAAACTACTAAACTGATTTTGATAAAATTTCTATGGGGCTAATCTATAAGTATATCCTTTCACATAAAAAAAGAATTACTAAATCGGTTTAAAACTCACACAGTTATGAGGTAACAAACATTAAAAAAAACAACATACAACCGAATTGAGACCCACCGCTTTTTTGAAGTCGAATGACAAAATTAAAGTTTTTCGATTAAAATTCCGCTAACGCTTTTGTCTTGGACCAAACACACTCGAAAACGTAATTCTAAATAAGGAACCGGTAATTCTCATCGCAACGACAATATTTTAATTATTTTGACAATCATTGGCAAAGTTGCGCTATTATTGTAATTATTAAGTTTCGGAACATGCATTTGTGGTGTGCATTACTCAAGTCTAATCCTCGAGTGCATTCCTAATGTGACGTAGCTCGGCCTACTAACACGTTACATAACGATAATGGAATGACCGATGGTACTTTAAATAAATTTATAGTTAAAAGTTTCGTTAGCACACATTATATTTTAATTTAGTAACTACCGGTTTAACTTACATATAATTAGATCGAAAAAGCTCGACTAGTTTCGGAATCAATTTGTAATCCTTAGTCATGAGTACTGTGACGCGAGCGCTAGCCTGACTGCGTATCTCGGCCTTATAAATTAAAATACCTTCAATAAATTTATTACATTACATTTTTACCTTGGGTCACTGCTTCCATCCCCGTGTCGCAAGAGGCGACTAAGGCAACTTAGGCAACTTAGGCAAAGAAGGACAGCAGCGTCCCTTACAAAACATCATCAAAGCCTAACTGCGGTTGCCAACCCGTTTACTAAGGTCTACGTTCAGCAGTGGACAGTTAAAGGCTGAAATGATGATGATGAATCAATATCCCAATTACGTAGACAAAGTATGTGAAGATAAGAACTAGTATTTTTTTGATGGATGAAAATGGTATGGTAACCCCACCTGCGCTAACGGGATACGCTGGCGGAGCACCAGTGATGGGTGATAGACGAGAATTAAAACAGGTCAGTTAGCCCATCATGATGAATTCATCAGGAATTAACCCTGATAGTTTCCAAGGGGAACCGCGAGGAGGTCGACCTGGTTGGGTATATTGCTAGCAATGGGATTTTCAGTTTCCATTACTAACAATCCCTTTTCCCCCTAAGAACTAGTATTTTTTTTTTTTGATTGAATACATTCTGATTTAGAATCTGCATGCTAATTTTTCTATATAACCGAGATATTTTTCTTTTATAATAGGATTTTTAAATGAGAGATACCACCTGATGGAAAATGGTAATCGTCGTTGAAAACCGGGACAAAAGTTGCCCATATCCTTTTCCATTCCAAATATTACGTGTAAACCAAACTTATGAGGGGGGGAAAGGGATTGTTAGTAATGAGGTCTAACCCATTGCCAGCAATACACCCTATCAGGTCGACCTCCACGCGGTCCGCCTGGAAACCATTGTGGTTATTTCTTGTGGGATCTTTCACGATGGGCTAACTGACTTGCTTTCATCGTCACCTTTCATCCCTCGCTGGTCCCCGCCAGTGTATATCGGTAACGCAGGCGGGTTTACCAATTCATTATCACCCATAAAAAAAAACGAAACCTATGACGATTTGATGAACCGTTTAAACGTCAAGTAACAAATAAAGTCACGTTCACATTTATAAAATTAGCAAGGATTGCCTAACAAACATTAGTAGGGCACATTTTAAGGAAACCTCCCCCCACTGAAACCCTGTGAATTTCGTGGGCGAAACACGTGTAAGTTTTATGTAAATTTAGAAAGGTTGAAGGTTTTAGGTTCTAGATATACATTCAGCGAATCTAAATTTATATAAAAGCTAGTTTCAGTTCTAGTCAATATATCACTTTGATATATAGTAATGACAAAGACAAAATTTTAGCCCTCTTTAAAAAAGACGTGGATTTCAATTCGGTTGTATTTTTTTTGTTTGTTACCTCAGATATTCGTCATTTAAAAATCGATTTGGAATAATCTGTTTTTTATTTGAAATATATTAATTCAGACAATAGAAATTCCATCAAAATCGATTCCGTAGTTTGGTTTTAAATCAAATTGGTTTTATTATATAGGTATTTGGTATAGAGGTATTGTTTTTTTACTGATCAAACAAAACAAAATTCTGCATATCACGTAACATGATTTACTTGTAGACACGAATAAGCATTCCAAATTCAAATATTTTTTTAAATTTAATCTGTCTATGAAACGTTCGTTCTCAGTCGGTTGATTTTTTTGTTTGAAAATAATAATCAATATTAATTGTTAATCAACAAGTCGCAGTTTTTTTTTTTTATTTAAATGCAAAAGCTACTTATTATAAAACAAAATCTTAAAACTTATAATCCTTTTGATCTATTAAAAAAAAAAAACAATATTTACCAAGTCTACTGAATAATATGCGGTTTTCTAATACTTTAAGTGAACACCAAACTGTTTTCAATAATATAATAACTTATTTCTACGTGCTAAGGGTGTGAAGTCTTAGTTTATTTTTGTAGCACGTTGTTTGTTGCGAAGACTGCTCGTCTCAAGGGCGCCGGCTTGCTACAGAATCGTCGTTGTTGTAGACAGACCTTGACATTTAGTTTCAGTGTTTACCGTTTGTGTGTTGATCTTTCTAAACAATAATAATTTTGGAATATTGTGCAAAAATTGGTTGTCTGTACTATAAGATACAAATAAACTAATAAAATTAATATAAGACATGAGAGGAAACACTATTAATCGCAAAAAGAATAATACAAATTTATTCAAAATAATCAAAGACATCGTACATACAAAAAAATACGACGAATTTCACAACTTTTTTTTTAATATAGCTTGTAGTTTACGAAATGTTAACATATAAAGTGCTGAGAAAATACAAAATTTTCTAATTGGAAGTTCCACACAAATTTTCAAATGATAATAAAGAATTTACAGTGTACAGAGGAATAACACCTGAGTCCTCAGGAATGGCAACGCATGGGGGGCATCATGGGCGAAACAGTATACTCTGTTATGTCCATGGTACTGCTCATGTCTATAGGCGTCGGTTACCACTTTCCATCAGGTGGACCGTCAACTTGTTTGCCATTCTAAGTCGTATAAAAAAAACACTGATAACTAAA